TGTCTTGGCGTGCTGTTGTTATTTCATTCATAAATTATTATATTATGCTCATCACTAGTACTTCTTGGGGTCATATCAACATTTTGCAAACCAGACAATGCCAGTCTAAACTGAAAAGACAAAGACCCGAAACCGGGAAAGAGACCAAAAAACGCGACAGATAGGAGAGTACGAAAAAGCTGGCCACCAACCCAGCAGACGACTCCCGTTCCTGGGAGGCTTATGTGTGCTTGCTATTCTTGGACCACGACCGAATGCGAGCACCATACCGATAGAAGAGTACGGGAATGGGAATCATCGCAATACTAATGAACCCGAGGGTACTCGACGCCCAGGCAACGCCCAGATTGTGATACATGAAAGGTCCAAAGAGGGGGAACCCGGCGCCAAAGAAGCTACGCACGAAGGTGTTGGCACCGATCGCACTGTTGGCGATGGTCGGGTACACGTCGACCAGGTAGTTCAGACACTGCACGAAGACCATGTACATGCCGGTCCCGACGGGGGCACTGCCGATGACCATGCCAGCCCAGTGGATATTGGGGTTGGATGTCCAGGCAAAGATGAAGAGTCCAACGGGCAGCAGACATCCTCCGGCGATCATGAGGGGCAATCGTTGCTCGGGGACCACTGCCTTGTTCCCGTCGTAGTTGCGCCGCGTTTGGATAACCACAATGGCACAGCCGATCAGAATCCCGACCATCATGCCGATATACGGAAGGGCGCTGATTCCCAAGGACCAGCCACGGACTTCGCGGAAGGCGATGGGGTACGAAACGAACACGAGGTATAAGATGCCATAGATGAAAGCCTGGTACGTTTGTCAGGTCATGAGTATGTCAATGCTCTATAGCGAGTTTCCTTACCTGGTAGATGGTGACCAGCAGAAGAATCGGCTCGGTAACCAAAAGCGCTGCGCACCGTTAGCATATCATGAATGGCACGAGGAAGAGAGCACTAACCAAATGGTCTGAGCAAGAAGATGACAAATATATCCTTGATTCCCTTTTGCTTCCCATCAAACATGGTGTGGACGTCCGGGTTGCCCGCCTTGCGGATGGCGGCAGCCTTGCTGCGCAGAATAGACCCGGCAAATGTCTCAGGCAGCCCAAAGACCACCAGAACTGTACATGACCCGCCCATGATGCAACTGAGCCACTGTGTGAATCGCCATCCAAGATAGCTTTCCACGATAAAGTTACCCATCAACGGGGCCAACACCGGACTGCCAAAGATTGTGCCGATGCAACATGCCATTGCCACACCACGTTGCGCGGGATTCCACATGTCCACCAACGAACCTCCGACAAGAGACAAGGGAGCCGCGCCAAAGACTCCCGTCAGGAACCGACCGATGAGAACCGTTTGCAGATTTTTCGCCACGGCCACGGGAATACAGAAGATGGTGAAAAGAGCCATGCCGATGACCATAGGCCACTTACGCCCGAATCGCTCGGACAAGGGACCCCATACGGGCGGACCAACAGTGTAACCCTATCCAGTCAGTATACCACACCGATGGGAAGAAAAGGATGATGGTACGACCTACCAACAGGAACAAGCTGATTCCAAGTGTCACCACCGTGCTGCCGACATGAAACCGTTGCGCGATTTGGCCACTTCCACTGCTGAAGATACTACTGGCGATACATGTGCAGAGATTTCCATAGACCCAGATGGCTGTGACAAACGCCCGGTATCCGAAGGACCAGTTTTGGGGGTTCGCTGGATCATCTGGTCCATCCCAGGTGACTAGGTTCGGGTCCGTCTTGGGTTCGGCGTTTGAAGGAGCCTTCTGGCTTTCGATGTCGGTAGGCTCTGATGAGAGTCGACTGCCCGGATGAGGGGAGGGTGAAGAGTCCGTAGAGACAACATTGGGTAACCCAGCTGCCGCCATTGGGGACGAATATGTGGAGGATGAAAATTAGAAGCGACCGGAAGAAGATCTTGGACTCGGGTCAAATATTATTCAAGACCGGCGTATGAAACACAAATCGAAATAAAAGTATGAAACACCAAATTAAGAAAAATAGATGAGTGGAAGGATTCAATCCAGATTTAATCCCTCCCTATGACGAGAATAGCGTTTCTGATCCTATTCCTGCCTTTGTCTTGGCAACGGGTGGACAAGTCCTATATACTCCCATCAGAGCTGGCGATCGTCCCGTACACCGCGTACGTACGCGGTGCTCGGCCGCCGTACCCCGAGTCATTAATCATCGGGCTTGTTGTTCCTTCGTCAGCATTGTAAGTGTTCCATCTCCACTTGTTCAGAGCCAGTTGTGCAATAGTAATCAAGCTATTATTAAATTATGAACAGACAAAATCGATTCCTCATTTATGGTCCAACTCAATGATTGCGTTGCTTGATTTCCAACTTCCTGACAAAGACCGTAAGGGCTTTTGTGAATCACGTGAGACTAACTGACCACCCTCATCCCTTCTTAGTAATCAACCCAAGTAACTAGTTAACTTAGTTAACTAACTAACCACCTCCTTTATATTTACAATCTATTTGAGTTGAATAGTATTATTGTACAGCTGGCGTTAATTTGATTAACATGGGTAGAGACAGCTTAATACCTCTCTCCAAGTCTTTGGCGTTTCAAGTCAATTTGTGTTTCTCATAAATAGATGATGCTGCAGGCATATCCGTTGCTAACCTGGCTTTAAAACTGACAGGCAACTGCTATCATATCTTCAATTTTTCTCAATCTCTATCATAAAGCTGCAACATGAGAGCCTAGACGGTGTCTCGAGATAATAGAGATTGTCCAACTTGGTTAGGATGCCAAACTTGGGGTCGAAAAGCCCGCAAGGGGTTCCAGAATGCCAGGCATCGTGGTCTAGTTAGATGACTATACCTGAGAAAGGATAGTGTGAATTTAATCTATGTAGTTCTCGTAGTGCCATGGGAAATTGCAGATTACCAATCCTACATTACCAACCCAGCAAGGTTGCTCTAATCTGCACTAATCGAAGCAGGACGGATTTCTACCTCATGGGAGTGGTCCGTTGACCTCCGTCCCTGCTGGGGCGCAAATTAAACTAAAGAGAAATATATTGTCCGAACTTTGTAACTAGATTACTCTATTTCTATTTCGTTGACATGCAAATCATTACTACTTCCTGGAAATATCACACCACTTGTCCTAGAGCTCACCGCTGATCAGTGCCAACAATTCCGACACGTCATCTGAGGTCTCCAAAGACAAAACGGTGTCCTCGATTTTCTGCAGCCTCTCGGAGCCAATCACGGAGCTCGCCAGTTTGCGCCATTTCTCACGAATCTCCTCGTCCGTGATGGGGGGATCGAATCCTTTTGGCATGGCGACCACATCCTCCACGGACTCCCCATCGTTAAACTCGACCACGATACGTGCCCCGCAGAGATGACCCGGCTTATCGAACTCAGAGCTATGAACACAGGTTGTCTTGTCAATGAGACTCCACACCGCATCACTATCCAAAGCATGAGGCTCGAACTGATCGAGCAACACCTGTCCATACACCAGCTGCGCGGCACCAATGTACGCCGCGTTCATCTGCCCTCCTGTCGCGGTCAACGGCCGCTCCTCTGGGGCCCAGCCATCGTGTGCAAATACCGGCTCGGAGAGAGAAACCGTAATGTGGCGGATATTGTGCAGCTGGTCAACAGCAAATCGGTCAGGGTATTTCCGCTGGAGCTTCTCCAGGGCCTCGATCTGTCCATGGCAACCGCCGACACAGGCATGTAATTTCACGCGGATATTCGTCGTATGCCACTCTTTACCCAATCCAGTCGTTACCTCGGACGGCTTATACTGCGGACTCCGGCCGTTTCCTTGTGTGAACATAGTGAGGAAACCGCCATAGCTGCGGTCGAAGACTTTCTTGATTCCGACGTATCCGTCGCGAGCCAAGAGCGCGCCGAAGAGCCCGTTGCGAGCGGCGAACGCGTGCTGTACGCGCTTCACCATTCCTTCGTACTGCGCTGCCATCAGCCCGCCCGCCTGTGTGCAGGCGATCCCGACCGCTGACTCGGCGTCATCGGGGGTAAGGCCCAAGAGCTTCGATGACGCAGCTGCTGCTGCCGGAGAACCGAAGACCGGGCCTGAATGCCATCCCCGTGAAAGCAGATCTGCGCCGTACATGGCGGATCCGACTCGTGGCCCGGTTTCGAAGCCCACGATTAGGGCAACGAGGAAATCGAGTCCCGAGACGACGCTCTTCCTGTGTCCCTTGGACTGCACTTCCGCCGCAGCGAATAATGCAGGCAAGAGAACACTGGCGGAGTGGAGCGGGGCAGCACTGTGGTAATCATCTAGCTCTACGGCTTGGATGAATGAACCGTTGAGGATAGCCGCTGCCTGGGGACCGTACCGCTATGTACTATTAGCCGTTACTCCATTATTTGCGAATTGGATGGAATATACCCGGTTGTATCCTATGACACTACAATATCCTTCAGGTTCATAGTCATCGATAGCCTGGGCGGCTTGCTCGGACCACGGGACGTGAGATCCGACTAGGCCACAGGCGATGCCGTCGAGCAGCAGGTGCTTGGCCCGTTGGAGGACATCTGTGGGGATATCTGAGGGCTTCAGCTCTGTCACCCAGTTGCAGAGCTCTGCGGTGACGTTTCCTTCTGGCGTGGAGTCTGTGACGGTCATGGTGTATTAATCGCAATGCTGAATACAAGGAACATGGACTTTCAATCTCTCATTGGGCATTAGCGATCTTATTCATAAATAGAGCTATACGGCCGTCCGACCCCGAGACGACTCCTAGAAATGCCTCCACGCGGGTCCTCGGGGGTGTACGCCTCCCCTTCGCGGACCGGCGTCCGAGTCGCGGAAAGCAGAGCAGTTCCTGAAGCCGAGCAGAGCGAAATTCTACGTAGATTGAGGGCGTTAGCCACCGAAGGGTCCAGAAGTGATGGTAGTTAAAAAGAGTAGTGCTCACCAGACAGACAGGAGACATTGTGACAGAACCACACATCCTATGGAACAGATTCAAAGATGCTCTCCTATACTAGCCACTGTCTGCAGGCACTGCTCGGGGTCGCGTCCCTGCCCTACCGGCAATACCAGGCGTACTCCAGCCCTCAAGCACCCCTCCAAGCACCCCAAGTACCCCAAGTACCCCAAGCCGGACCCCCCATCACCACCCTCGTCTCGTCGTGCGCGGGGTTCAGCTACCCGGAGGTTGCCTGCATTGATCGCTACGGATCACTCCTCCAAGGCGGGTTCGAGCGCAAAGTGCGTAACGTGCTTGGCGACGCCGACACCTACATCTCCACCGACGCGCCGGCGGAACCAACCTTCTCCGATCTACAAAATGCCGATTTCCTAGTGTGGAACCAATCGGCGGCGAAGGCCATCCTCGGTCCCAACCCAACTGTCGATTTCATGTTCAGCATCGAGGATTGCTCCCACGAGGCTCCCGTGTACGTCCCCACTACTAACGAACTGTACTTCTCCCGCTTACAGCAAGGATTCCTGCCTCAACTGGTGATTAACTTGAACAATGACCCCCCCACCTTGGAAGAGAAAATAGCCCAGCCACCCATCTACGCAGCCACAGGAGCTCGATTCCGCGATGGCCTTCTCTACCTCGCCACCATCGGCGGAAATGAGTCGCTCGCAGGCTACACCTTCCGTCCAGGTCTGTATACATTGAATCCAATGACCGGGGAAACTCAGGCTCTTCTGAACAACTACTACGGATATTATTTCAATGCAGTGGACGATCTCGATATCGATCATGAAGGTCAGATCTGGTTCACCGACAATGGTAACACTACCCTTCCTTCCTCCCCTCTATCAAAATCTAGCCTAGATAGATAACCCATTCTACAAAACCCAAAGACTACGGCCGCCCTTGCCAAGTAAACACCTACGCCCCACAAATCAACGCCGCCACCTACCGCTTCAACCCGAAGACCGGCCTCGTAACCATGGTCGACGACACCCTCCTGGAGCCCAACGGCCTCACCTTCTCTCCGGACAACAAAACCGTCTATCTGACCGACACCGGCGCCGGCTCTGCCATCATCGATCCAAACATCTACCCAGCACCACACATCGCCTACAACTCCACACGCAAGGGCCGCACCATCTACGCGTACGACGTGGCTCCGTCGCGCAAGGCGCTACTGAACAAGCGACCCGTGTACCTCTCCATGGAGTATGCGCCGGACGGCATCAAGACCTCGCGAGAGGGATATCTGGTATCGGCGACAGGGAAGGGTATCGTGGTTTTGACGGACGAGGGCGAGCCATTGGTGCGCGTGCAGACTAATTTCACGGTCATTAATATTGCGTTTGCCGGGCAGGATCGGGATGAGCTTTGGGCTATTGGGAAGGGGGGTGTAGCGAGGATTCGATGGGGATTGAAGGGGTCTTATGCTTAAAATTCTGGTTTCACCTTGATTTGGGTTGGGTTTTCATTTTGGGTTTCATTTGGGTTCATGATTTTCATGTCCGGTTTCATTTGTTATGTTGAACGTGAGATTTTAAGTCGTTTTTGTATCTGTCAGCGAAAGAGATTGAACGCAATTAAAAGAGATCTCCATTATCCTTGAACAACCGGGTTTTCCGTTGCGCTTATTTTTGTAGACCGGCCACGGTAGTGGACGAATTCTTTAATTTAGGGTTCGTATGATCCTAAACCCCGCGTCATGGGGCCGCGTACAGCGATTAGTTCTATGCGATCGATCAGATTGTTTCGACTATATTGGGCACTGGGCTCCGCTAGGGCTGGGTCAGCCCCGCCGGAGATGAGAGGATGCTTGTGCATACGGCTTAATTAGATTAACCGACGGCGGTGGTGGGGGCAGAGCCTCGGAGAAGAGATGATACTTTGCGAACGGCTGATTTCTGTGTTCCGAGGGTGGTAGCAGAATTAGACCGTCGGAGATAGTTGGGTGCTTTTACATTCCTCCTGACCAAGGTACTCCGAAGTCGGGTTTATGTTGGAAATGCACCGACCTTGGCCTTGGTACTGCTCAGGTATACGTCGTAGTCCATGTCCACAACGTCATTCAACAGGTTATGATTACAGGTGGCGACTCTGTAGTCTTTGGACTACGTTAACCAGGGTTTAATTTACTGCGAGGACTTTGCAAAAGACAAGTAAAACGTGTTGCGTAAGTAGTAAATTCTCCTCGTTGACATGGCCATGGTTTCTTTTCGCAGTGTTAGTCCATTCAGGTGCAAAGCCCGTTGAGAAGCACTTGATACTCTGAATTCATTACTGATACCCCTTGTGTCTTTGTACACTAACAATGCCTATTCCCTAGATACCGTTGACTACCAGGTGTAATCCTATCCAAAGCATCGCCAGGTACTTATTTTGTCAGCGAATGCTTCTCGGCTGTGAGCTTTTCTTCCTTCAGAATTGGTCTGCTGCTAAATATCTCACGAAAAGAAGAGATCTGACTTGCAAGGGCTCTTACTAGCAGAAGGTGATCGCCATGTGCATTTCATTTCACACGATACGCCTTCTGACGACCATGATCAAGCCGGGAACCTGAGACAGTGCATCCAGGCCTAGAAAAAGTAATTGCTCGATACTCGCGGGCCTTCTCTCACTTAGAAAGTGCAGTCACGATACCTTGGTTCAGCTTGACCTTTTGTTTTCGCAAACTCCTACACGCTTTTACCGCTTTTGTTCCGAATAGCAGAGTCCACTTTCTGCGTTCCAACAAGCAACTATACCATGGACCCATCTCCGCCCTGTGCGGCGTAGAAAATGGCAGTTCGGCCTTCAGCATCCCGCAAGTTGAGGTCCATGTCTCGATGATTCAGCAATGCTTCCACAATTGGGTTGTCATTCATACCAATTGCAGGATTTCAGCGGAGTTCGGTCGGCGGAATCCTGAATATTGATGCTGACTTGCGGGCTAACGTAGCAGAGCATCTCCAAATGAAGCATTGCGACTTGTTACGGCCCAGGAAAGGGGTTCACTTCTTCTCTCGCGCCCCTAGTAGCCGCCTTGTATTCTGCTGCTCCAAAAATATCATGTGCATTTGGCACTGTTCGAAAAGAGGATCAAAGTACAGCAATAATTATCCCAGCACCTGCTAGACCACCCATGACTACGCCTGTAATCGCGCCCACGTTGGCTGCTGTGGGAGCTATTGGTCCCTGAAACAGGGTTTAAGATCACAGGGTTTGAAATCAGTTACTGAGGTGCTTGAAGTTATCAAAATTGCGGATACTCCGATAGTTATAAGATTGGCAATTAAGGAAGATAAATCTAGAGTTTCAGTATATTCTTATCAGCTCCTTGAAAGAGTAAGAAAGATTTTTTTAAAATTGGGTTTAAGAAAGTAAAAGCTCTATTAATAGAGGTCCTATTTAAATGGTCTGTACTGTTCTCCGGATCTGTAGATTAAAATTTAATCTGGTTTAGCTCGCAACAGAAGGGTGAAACCCTGACAAAGAGATGAAAGGGAAAAGAAGGAGACTGAGAAGAATAGAGAAATTCTCCCAGCAGATGATTGCAAGGCTGGGTCCCAGATGAACTAGGCTGATGAGGCTGAGCGAATGTCTTGTCTGGATGCTGCTTATGCAGATCAGGGTTGAGGAGTACCGAATACCTAGGTAATATTTAGGTAACGTACTCGTATTCGGTAAGCAAGCGGCGAACCTCTCGAAGTATATGTATTCAATTTACACGCATTTTGACACTTCCGAGAAGGGCAGGCACGTGTGGCTGCTTGTTGGCCGATTTACATTATATAACTATAACTAACTAGGTAGTTAGTTAAAGAGATTAACATCTATCAGCTATACATCGACCTTGTGTAGGATGTGTACATATCGATCAAAGTAATATATGACCTAATTCAGCCTAGTAATTACCACCCGTGCGGGTCTGCACCCGAGATTTTGGACCCGAACCCGACCCGATACCAGCTCTATTTGGTAGTATAGCTGGTGGTTGAATAATATTGAAAAATAAATAAATAAATAAATAAAACTAAATATGACGTGTGGCGCTTGTTTACCAGTTATGTGACTCCTCCAGCCGACACAAACCAATCGAATGCCAGCCGAGAACCAACCGGATCTGCACTGATGCATGTTCCTAACGTAATCATCGGCCGCTGCCCAGACCGTCGGTCAGGGCAGCTCAGACGCCCTCAAGGGGGAGTCTTTCGCGCTGACATCCCAAACTTTCACCATCTCTCTCAGCTGTGTACACTGTACTAATCTACACTTCTCGCACCCCCTCCAACGTTGCAAGTGTCCCTAAAGGAATTCCTGCATGTCTGCTGCGGACGACCTTTACGGAGCCAGCTATTAAATGAATACGATCCAGAAACCCTGCCGGTCGCTCCAGTCACCCCGGTGCACCGATGGGAACGGGTCATCGTCGAACAGGAGGAAGGAAATCCAGGACTGGATGCCGTTCCTGCCGGTGAGCTGTGGGGAAGGTGCCAACAGTGGGGTGGGGATGTTCTAACGGTCGCTCGCAGTGCTCGCCACATTAAATGCGATGAAGCCCCTGAGAGGTGTCGAAATTGCACCGCAACCGGTCGTGTTTGTGATGGATATGATGTACATCGGCTGCCTCTCGCCAAGAAAGCCGGGGTGGATGCCACCCGTCCAGCGATGACCCTCGTGATGGCTCAGAGGCCGACCTGGCCAATGACCTCGGACGAGCGACGATGTTTAGCGTACTTCCAGCACCGCACCGTTCCCATGATCCTCGAGTTCTACGACTCATCGCTCTGGCGCGAACTGGTTCTCTGGATGAGCCAGTCCGAGCCAGTCGTGTACCATGCAGTGATCGCTCTGAGCGCGGTCCATCAGGACATGGAGAGGAGAGGGATGCCATTGTTGATCCAAGAAGCGTATAATATTTGGAATTCCTTCGCCCTGGAGCAATTAGGTCGGGCGTTTTCCTGTTTGATCAAGCGCCGTATGTCACACGATCCGCGCCTGCGAGATGTCATCCTGACCTGCTGCTTGCTCTTCATTATGCTGGACCTGCTCCGGGGACGGTACGACGATGCCTTTCGGCACCTGAAAAGTGGTCTGCGAATCTTAAAGGAGTCCACGGCTCCAAAGGCTCCCATCTCCCGGGTACCCCGGGAGGAGGCCATCGAACCGTGTTTAGTCGAGACCTTTTACCACCTCGGGATTCAGTCCACACTCTTTGGGGTGGAGACGTCCCGCCTGCCGATCGATGATGAGTCAAAGCCGGGCGGGGGCGGCAGTGTAGCATTCGATAGCCTCGAACAGGCCCGTCAAGCCTTCAATGCCCCTCTTAGAGCGGTGTATCAATTTACCGGACCCTGCATGGGTCTGTCGGCTGTAGAGATCGCATCCCACTATGAAACCCTACAGTTAAAACAGCTGGCGGCGTGGTCAAGCCTCAGCCAGTACATGGACTCATTCGATCTCTTTTACCGCCGCGCATCTTCGGCTCTTCGTCCCAAAGAACAAAGAGGCGCCGACATGCTCTATTTACAGCAGCTGGGCTTGGCCGTCTCACTAAAGACCTGCCTCCTGGGCGGAAATACACCTGCATATGAACATTATACATCGGACTATCGGAAAATAGTTGTACTCGCGGAACGAATCGTGAAGAGCTTTCCCCAGCCTCCAGCCGTTAGCATCAACAATGGCGTCATTCCCACCCTCTATCGCACAGCCATGGTCTGCCGTGATTATACGATCCGCTGGCGCGCGATTGAGCTTCTCCAGACTTGGCCTCATCGGGAAGGGCCCTTTGACTCGAACTGGTTCCTCTATGTCGCTTTGGAGACGATGAAAGCCGAGCTATTGACTCAATACAAATCACAGGAGAACAAACATCCTCCGGGCGTTATATTAACCGATTCGCGTGGAGAGGAGCTATCATGGAATAAGGTCCTTGTAAAGATTGTCGAGAACCAGCGACACACGGCACGAGCAATGGGAAAGGGACTGGACGACGGCACGAGCTCTCCACTAGAGCTCGCCGGTGCAGTAAAATGCATGACAGGCTGGGCCTGTGTCCGAGGATTCAAGGCTGTGGTCAGAAAGTATAACTGGCGGAAAGACTCCGCGGGCTGTTGATCGTACGCTATTTTCTCTTCTTTATTTTTTTTTCGGGTTAATGCGGTAATTAGTATAACTGCGATTATACGTGCATGTAATGATAAAGTGATTGCCCTGGATAAGTTTACTAATCCGAGAACCATATCGTAAACTATATGAGCGACTTCAGCGTTCGTGCCTATCCAATCAAATACCCTCTTCACTCCTGGTAACTCATGGGCTACGATACTCCAGGCGTGTTTGTTTCATTTGTCTTGGAAGTGTAGCTAAAAATGAGTGATCCAAGGGGAAAGAGGGTGTCAGCATGAATTTTCTTGGCGGTGCCAAGAATAGAATTTATATCCCTCTCTCTAGCAGTGGCTTGGGGTTAGATTTTCGGGAAATTCGATCAACTCTAGATATACATTCTTTATACAATACGTCGTGGAGTGCAGCTAAGAAAAGGGGAGAAATTTGAACTTTCTGTGTCGATTTTGAGTCAACAATTGACATGTTTGGGCTCTTGAGAGAGAGATATATATAGTTGTATCTTGCACGACACAAGCTGGGGGAGGGAAGTTCTAAGGACTTTCCTACTACACCCCCAGAAGAAGGACTAGAAGCTACGATCAATGACCATACTTTCCTTGCACTATGTAGAGCGGAAATCAGAGTATTCAGGGCGGTACAACCACGCTTGAATTCGTTGCGTAGAATGATATGATGACGTTATGCCTCAACTGAGTACGATTTTGCCGGCAATTGATAACCGATAACGGATAGCAGTGAAAGCGGTCAAATAGGCGGTAATGATACTGCTAGAATGAGAAGCCCTACGGGGAGTGACGTCATGCTCTGCCTTTCAATGGAGTATCTCTTTGGGCTAGACTTTTATGGTGGGAGTCGGACATTGCGATCAACCTAAACTCCGTGCCGAGTACGTTTAGATGGACTCAGGAAATGCTTCACATTTGATAGAAATCATAAAATTCACGATAATATATCCTTCGTCAATGTACAACAATATCTAATAAACCATTTTCTCTCCATAATCCCATTCTCAAAAAGAAAAGACCAAAAGGGAAGGAAAAAACAAAGATCAGTGCTTAACCTCGCCCAATGACTCGCCCAACGCTTGGCCATTAACGATGACCGGCTTGGCATCCAGGGCGATATACAAGGCGCGCGCAAACTGGGTCTTGCTGGGGTTGCGCCAGCAGTGGTTGGTACCTCGCTGCACGGCAACATCGCCCCGCTTCATCAATCGCTTCTCGCCGCCCTCGACCTCCAGCTCCAGCTCGCCCTCAATGACGACTCCGAAGTCAACGGTCACAGTGCGATGCCACATGGGCTCACAGCCCGGGTGGTAGTCGACGTAGCGCACGACGGCGCCACCCGGGATCATGAAGGGAGGATGGTTGACGAGATGCTCTTTGTATTGGTTCAAGTCGGCATCGTGGCTGAGGGGAGCGGGGAAGCTCCCGAGGGTGTAGGCGAGGAAGAAATCGACGCCAATGTTGGTGCGCTCCCATTCGATTGGTTCGGGGATTTTGGTCTCGAAGGTGGGGGTTCCATCCTCCTTGTGGGTCGTGATGAAGCGGTGGACTTCGGGGAAGTCTTTCTCAGGAAGGGAGCCCATTTTGAAGTTGTGATTTGGTTTTGGGTGGAGTGGATGGTTTATGGAGGAATTGAGGAATGGATTGAGTGATTGAGTGATTGAGGGATTGTTTGTGGTGAGTGAATTGGATTAAGAACCGCCATGATTGGGATGTTATTTATGTTTTCCGTGGTTTGGATGAATGGTCGGTCATCGGAGGACGATGGCTCGGAAGCGTGTGGTTTTCTCGGCGTCGTTTGAACCGTAGGCGGAGGTCGGCGCCCGAGCCCCGCATGGTCTTATGCAAGCATTGACAATCTCATGGGTGAGTAATGCCAGGACCATTGCTCAGGTAATTCGGATTAGCTGAGAAACCCTTTCGTGGACTGTTCTTGACACTTCTTTCTGTTACTTTCACTATGTTACAGTTTTCCGTCTTCGTTCTTCAGTCAATGATGGTATGAGTTTTTGTTCTCTATTGCTGAGGCTTTCTTAGGGTTAGGGTTTCCCTCCCCATGTACATATTCGGCTCTACGTCAGCGCTCTACTTTGCTTTTCTCTCCAATAGTCTTCTGGCATTTCGTTCGGAGAATCCTTCCATATCGCTCTGGTTGAATGGCCTCCGATCGGCCGATCTTAATATTTACCAATCAAGAATATTCCCCAACTAACAAATCGCAATGACTACGGAGTAAGCTCGTCTCAATAATACTTTAGTGCTTATGGTTGGAAAAAGTCAAATGAAAAAGCCGGCGACGGTATAATTGGTTCTCTATAAAGACCTTCACTAAAAAATATCCACCACTGTGGAGAATGGGTCACATATAGTGTGACGGAAAATTCTAAAAATATATAGGAAAGAAGAAGAAGAAGGGAGGGGGAAAGAAAAGACAAAAGAAAGGAAGAAAGAAGGATGGAAGAAAGAATAAAAAAAAAAAAAAAAAAAAAAAAAAAAAAAAAAAAAAAAGAAAAAAAAAAAAAAAAAAAAAAAAAAAAAAAAAAAAAGAAAAAAAGAAAAAAAAAAAAAAAAAAAAGAAAAGGATGAAGAGAAAGGTAATCACAAATCCAACTCTTACTCTAGAGCAGGACCAGTCAAGTTCAGTTTCGCTCGCGCAACAGCGCCATGTCCAACAATCCACAGCTCATCCAAGTTCTTGCCACCGAAGACCATGTTCACAGCCGTGAAATTCGTCTGGATGCTCACCAATGGTGTGCCCGTGGTATCAAGGATGTCAACACCATGACCCGCCCCGGTAATCACATATCCGTTGCTAGCCACCTTGAGACCATCCGGAACGAAGTCCTTCGCCGTGTAGATCGGACGACGGTTTTTGAGATACGATCCGTCCTCGCTCACATCGAAGGCGTAGACTGTGCGGCGGTTGGTGGAGTTGTACTGGAGCGATGGCACCTCGCTCAATGGCACTCTCGGATCGATCATGGGGACACCGGCGTCAGTGTCTGTGAGGTAGAGTGTTTTGTAGTCGGGAGAGAAAGCAACCCCATTGGGACAATGCAGGGTGTCGTCCACGATGTTCACGGCCCCGGTTGCGGGGTCGTACCGATAGACTGATGCCTGGACCTGAGGGGCGACGGTTGAGGTACCGTGGTTGCGGGCGAGGACTATGGCGGAATCAGTAGGGACTAAGGTGGGATACCCGGGTCCAGGAACTTACAAGGATCACTAAACCAGATACGACCGTGCTGGTCGATATCCATGTCGTTGGCCTGTGTCAAAAGTTAGTCCGAAAGTTAGTCCGTGAAACTCACTAGGCGTGTATCCACTAATCTGCATAAATGCGACACAGAGGACCCGCGTCGCGTAGTGACGGTAGGCGTGCTTACCTGGTTAAAGTACCACCCAAAATAGTTGTTGACCTCAATGGTCGATTTGCGGGTTTTGGGGTCCACCGAGTAGATTCCTGGGTGATACGGTCCCCCTTCTAGGGTGGAATTACCACCTCCCGCAGAGAAATAGATTTTGCCATTGCGATAACGGGCCCCGGATGGAGCATAGAGGGGTGGGTCGGTCAGCACTTCGGAGATGGTAGGGGAGTCGCCATCCAGGCTGATGACCTGCTGGTGGAGCTCCCCTTTGCCTAATTCCGAGAACCACAGCTCGTTGGTATCCGGGACGTAGACGGGCGCCTCGTGTCCACCAGTCGAGATAGTAAACACAATGTCATATGCGGGGTCGGATCCTAGGATTTCACTACCACGCTGTTGGTCCCAGACGAGGAATGTGGCCTTTCCAACCTGCTGGAACGAGTCGTCATTGGCTACCTCGGTCGAGGAGTAAGTGTCCACGCTACTGATGTCGATGCTGGCCTTGCGGTAGAAGTCAAGGGGCATTTTCGACGCATATCGGTACATGCAGGCGACACGTGGGAAGCTGTAGCCAGTGCAGGCTTGAACCAAGGGGGTGGAATTGTTCCCGGCAGATGCTAGCGGGGCTATGCATAGCGCCAGGGAGACCAATCGCAGAGATAGATGCATGGTCGAACACGTGGGTGCTTCGAGGATGGTTTCTAAAGATATACACTGGAGGAGTTGCTGTTGATGCTATCCAAATGAGCAGAGAAATTACCCTCTACTTATACTTCGTATTCCATCTTCTAAACTACAGACTCAGGTCCAGCTGAGGAATAACACTGCCTTCCAATCTCCTGTTGGGGGCCGAATCCTTCATCATCTTACGTTCAAGATGAGATACATCGAGGCTCGAGCACTCTGTTAGACTTTCGCCAATGCATCAACCACATGGCACACCCCGGCCAGACCACGTTGTTTCAGGGGCTGAACAGGGGGTGGCCTGAAGTGCAAAAATCCTGCAGGATTCTGCAGGATTCTGTGACACAACTCAAATTAGGCTGACGATTGATGAGCCATGCATGGGGCCGGAGAAAGTAGGTTATTCGGAGAAAGTATGTCGTTCGGAGCAAGTAGGCCGTTCGTATCCGCGTGTCGCCCGCCGAGGCCCCGACCATGAACCTCCGCTCTACGCAGGTCCACCAAGCTCGTTGGACGTACGCCAAGAACCAGAATCCGCGTATGGCACACATCGAAGTACCGGAACTGCGCAAAGAGAGACGCTGACATGCAGACATGCAGACATGCAGACATACAGACATGCTCCGACAGCAGCTTCATGGGACCGCCGTCGGATGGAGTGGACGATATGGCATGATTTCACGTTGAAATGAAGACATAAATAGCCTCGTGGTTTCCGTGGGTTTGTTCTTATCATCATCACGACAAGAATACAAGAATAGCAACCAGGAAAACAACCGACTCAAACTCAATTTTAATCACCAATCTTCAATCTTCAATCTTCAATCTTCAATCTTCACAAGATGCACTCCACCAAGGTCACCTACCCCGAGCCTATGCAGCTCACGGGCATTCTCGATCAATACGAGTCCTTCCAGGTTACACCTTGCATTGGCACCGAATTCCCCAAGGCGAGCCTGGCTGAATGGCTCTCCTCGCCCAATGCCGATGCTCTGCTGCGCGACCTGGCTATTACTAGTAAGTATCATCTTAACTCGCAACCAAAAAACCAACGCAGCCACTAACCGGTTACTCTAGTTGCTCAACGAGGCGTTGTCTTCTTCCGTGCCCAGACTGAGCTGGATGGGGAACTCCAGAAGGAGCTCACCCACCGCTTGGGCGTGCAGTCTGGTAAGCCAGCTGGCCACCGTCTGTCCAAGCACCCTCTCCACCTCATCCGCAAGGATGACCCGGAGATGGGTATCCTCGACCCCGGCCGCCAGCAGAAGCTGCACGCCGTCGAGAACACACAGAAGCGTCAGCGCGCCGTTCTGGAGTACCACAGCGATGGCTCCTATGAAGTCTGCCCTCCTGACTTCACCATGCTCCGCATGACTGAGATCCCCCCCACCGGTACGCTAGCCACTACCAAATTACGGCACCCCACATACTGACAGATTCAGGTGGCGACACCCTCTGGGCCTCGGGATATGAGCTCTACGACCGCCTCTCAACCCCCTACCAGAAGTTCTTCGAGTCCCTAACCGCCCAGCATGAGGTTCCCTCCCTGCGCAAGCTGGCTGAGACCGAACCCGGCATCTACGATGGCCCTCGTGGCGCCCCCGCCAACACTGACATGCAATTCAAGCAGTCCCACGTACGTAACTTGTCCCTGAACTCTACCGCTGGATCCCATCTAATCTTCTGCAGCCCATGGTCCGCACCCACCCCGTAACAGGCTGGAAGACTCTCTTCGCAGGAGGCCTTCACTGCCGCCGCGTCAACGATGTCACCGATTTCGAGAGCGAGCAGATCCTGAGCAAGATCATCTCCCTCGTCGGCGACAACCACGACCTGCAAGTCCGCTTCCGCTGGAACAACCCCGGCGATGTTGGTGAGTAAAAACCCTGAAAATCTAAACCCTGCCTAACGCCTTGTCTAACGATGATAGCTATCTGGGACAACCGTTGCGTCCTGCACTGTCCTACCCAGGACCACTACGGTCTTGGAGGCCGCATGGGATACCGCACCATGGGTATTGCCGAGACGCCTTACTTGGACCCTAACAGCCCTTCTCGCCAGGAGGCTTTGGCTGCTGCCGCTAAGTGATTGCGGAAAGTGACTGTCTGATCTTTCTTTGTGGCGCACTTGTTTGTCTTGCCTCGCGGTGATTTAGTATATTGTTTGTTATGTTAGATGATTGGCCTGATGAATGTTGCGATATGTTGATTTTCATAGATCTCTTTTCATAGAATGAGAACAAGTGCTTTTATGTTATATCGACTTTTCCTACAGATGGCGTACTACTGCTCTGCGTAGATTATGGCAAGTCAGGAATTGTGTTTCATTAGTACATATCTCTTGCTTTGAGCTCTCACTAGTAATTCCAGATATCACTGGAATAAAGCGAGGACATCTAATTCAAGGTCACCAGTAGCTATATAAGATGGCTGGATAGAGTAACTACACCTTCACATCCCGGATCTATAAGATCTGGACGTAAGACTACTTTCCGCCAGCGCGATACATGAATTAACCGATAATATCTAAATGAATATTTCCCTTTGAAGAACAAGAGAGACAGAATACGCCATGTAAGGCTTTAACAGCTACCAAGTCAGATGAAGAGAATCATCCTTTCTCTTCCAGCGTGGCATAGGAGTGGTATGGTTGGTGAGTGTGGAATGACGTGTAGACACAACCAAACGTACGAAGTCAATATCCATCAAGACACACTGAGGAGGTATACGGGATCCCCTTAGACGATAAAACTGATACAAATTTCCTCAGAAATGAATGAATTAATTCAGAAATGAATGGTGGCAGGTCCAGTAGCTTGTCTAGGTAGATGGGGCTCACCCGCTCGATTGAGTGTATTAGTCGCAGACAATTCGAGAGAATAGATATATATTGTATAACGTCTCCGGCAGGCATAACAAGCATCAATAACAAAAGCAACAATGGCATGATCTATATAAAGAATGGGCTTTTGCAAAATATCAATGTCGACAGAAAAGAAAGCAAAGCATATGCACAATCAACCCACAGCTCAACCCTTGACCAGCTTGCTCTTCCCCCCCCTCCCTCCATCCTCTGTCATGGACATGGCGTGAATCAAAGAACCATCTACATCTCCTCAAGAATGCCACTCCGTTTTCGCAGAATCGCGCCATATCGCCACAGGAGAACCGGAACCAGCCCACCCATTACTAACGCCCACAGAGCCAGCAAAGAACTACCCCATCCATAACCAAGCGTTCTATAGATCAAAGGAGCCAGAATCGGTAGAACAAAGCCCAGCAGCGAGCGGAGGATCGTTAGCGCACCCATGGCCGAGGCGGCATACACTGCGTAGCAGTCCAGTACATAGGCTTGAATACACTGGTAACTCATAATCAGGCCAAGGGCGTAGATACCGATTCCGATGTTGGGAATGAGCCAGTGGCTGTGGGTCTGGGCGGACCAGCCGTAGATTAACAGGCCCATGGGGACGAGTAGGGCAGCGGGGAGCATGAGGATTGTTCGAAGTTCTGGGGTTCCCTTGGCAGGGTCTTTCGAGGTATAGTAGATGTAGATCTGCGATGGTTAGCGATCTGGATGGATGGGAAAGCGGGGATAGGGGAAGTTACCCGATCGTTGAGGGAGCCTGTGATTTGACTTCCGAGGATGAAGCCGCCGGCGATGGAGATGTAGTTCAGTGCTGCGCGGGATGGGGTTTGGTTGTAGATGTCTGTCCAGACGGACTCGAAGGTCGTGATGGATAGGTGGTTAAGGCCAAAGAGATAGCCCATGAAAAGGGACAGGACTTGGATGATGGGCTGTGTTCCGAGGAAAGTGAAAGGTCGTCGGAGATCCTGTCTGAAAACATCTGCTAGACTCTTATGGTGCAGTTGAGGGGAGCCCTGCAGCTGGCCCTTGCGGACCGCAGCAGCTTGTTTACGCTGGATCAGGACTGGCCGGAAGGTCTCGCGGAGTGTGCAAAGACCTAGCACCCATGTGATGAAGATGTAAAGTGAGCACCACGCGAATATTGCACGCCATGACGTGTGCGACACGATGTATGCGCCGGTGATGGGTGCAATGGCAGGACCAAGAAGGGGCCCCAGGGTATAAAGGGAGATGGAGAGGCCTCGCTCTTCCGGAGCCCACAGATCCCCAATTATCCCTGCGCCTATCTATTCCACCGCCCGTTAGCGACGATCAATTAGTATATAGCTGAATTGTACTCACCGACAGTGGAGCGCTACCAACGGCCCCCGTGATAAACCGGAGAATGAGCAATTGGTAATCAGTACGGGCGAACGCGCACAAGGCATTGAAGACCAGGAACAGGCCATGCCCTGTATTTAACAAGGATATCCGCCCGTAGACTTCCGACAATGGACCGACCACCAGCGGCGCGAAGCTCCAGCCGAGGACATACACAGAAACAAAAGCTTGCAGCATTCCTGGGTCGGTAACATTCAAGTCTGTGGCGATTTGCGGCATGGCGGGCACAATAATTGCTGCGATGACTGGACTGATCAGACCGTAAACCGAGATCACGGCAATACAGAGCCAGCGGTAGGACACCGTCCAATTGCGAGGTTCTTCCCACTCTTCCAACTCTTCCAGAGAAGGAGAAGGGTCCTTGGAGCATTAGCTTCACGCACGACTAGACGCCGAGCGATAAACTTACATCGGACTGAGAAAGCAGTCTCGTTCTTTCGTTTACTTCTTCAGCCATGATGGTCTGTAATCTGGACGCTATTTGTGAAATCGACTGTACGTTTGCGGGCGAGAATATTGGCTATATGTATAAATACGCCAACAGTTCCATTGACTTGGAATGAGGGAAGTGACCAAGAATAAAATGGAATAGCGTAATTATACTACGTGTAGAGACTGCAATAGAAAATATCTACAACTATACCCCGGTTCTAGAATTCGGAGGAGAACGAGCGATGCGTGTCGGACGCGATGTCCGAGAAAATGTCAGCGCTAAGACCCGAGTACGACCAGACGAGGCACGATAGATATGCAGGTGGACCCTTCGGAAGACACTGGAAACTTTTCTACTCTCGGGTTCAGTATTATTGACCATCCACAATGCTCCGAATAATCCAAAAATTTCCGAACATAGCTTACGCTTGACGTTGGGGGAGATATAGCAAGAAATGTTTAACTTCAACTACGTGTCGTACTCTTGAGATACTTGCTACGGAAGAAAACGGAGAGAAAAGAAGACCGAAAAAAAACTCAAAAAAACTAAAATTAAGAATATACAAAGATCATAGTAACAATCAGTCGTCTAAGTTGCTATCAAACAGGGCACCGGGAAATCACGAAATCGACTCTAGAGAAACGTCGCAGAATCACTCATCCATGGACTTGTTCAAGTCACCAGTATAGATCTGACCCGGTCTCCAGATTCGAGGGGGATTGCCTGCTATTGTGTCAGTACAGATGCTTCTAAACAAAATCAGGGGAGATTCTGGCATACCCATGGCCTCCCTCCAGTGGGCCATAAACCCTTGTGTGCGGGAGAGAATCGACAGAGGCAGGATAAATTCCGGCGGGAAACCACTAAAACATAGGGTCAATACGACTATAACCAGAAACTGACGGGAAAAGGTAACATACAGAGCCTTGTAGACAAACGCGGCGAACAGATCCGCATTGGGCCGGAGATTCCTGGAGGTGAAGTACTCATCTTCCGAGGCAACACGGTCGACCTCGAATGCAACTTTCAACAATGGGTCCTTCTCGACTTCCTCAGACAGCTCATTGAGGATTTCACGAATGAAGACAAACCGAGGATCCGTCACACGATAGACTCGGTGGCCGTAACCGTACAGACGTTCCTTTCCTGCCTTAACTCGGGCAATCTTGGCAGGTACATTGGCGATGGAGCCGATGCTCTCAATGTTCTTGTAAGCCACTTCAATGGCTCCGCCATGGAGAGGACCATACAATGCCGAGATGGCGGAGACCATGCAGGAGATGACATCCGGGAGGGCGGATGCGGTTTGGAGAAGGGCCGCGGTGGAGCAAGTCATTTCATGATCGGCAATCAGTACCCAGAGTCGCTCAATGGCATTCACATATCGGGGATTTGGCAGGCCAGTAGTCGCCTCCACATGGCCAGTCATAAGCAGGAAGTTCTCGATATACGATAGCCCCTGGCGGGGTGGAGTGAAGTCACGGCCAATGTGATGGCAGTATGCTGCCGCTGTCAACATGGACATGTTTGCCATGACCCGAATGATTTGTTGATCGGCCAGCTCGGGATTGTTCAGATAGATCGTCTTTCCCACATGAGCGGGGATCGCATCCATATCACTGGACTGGAGGGCGGATAGACCGGCGATGACCATTCCCATAAGGGAGCCGTCTCGTCTGTTACAGGTCAGCAAGGAGAGCACACATGGAAGCAATGAGTTTTAGGAAGCCTTACGGAAAGGACTTGATCACATTGAAGACAAAGTCCTCAGGGACAGGAACCTGGTCGAGGCGTTGCTGAAGGGTTTCCGCTTCGGCGGCTGTCGGCCAGTGACCCCAGATCAGGAGATGCGCGGTATCGATAAACGTCTTGCGGCCGACAATATCATTGATGGAGTACCCGCGGTACTGGATGGTGCCCTTGAGCCCATCAATATAAGTGATCTTGCTGTGACTGACGGCGGTGTTAGAGTAGCCTGGGTCGTAAACTCGCAGGCCATTCTCCGTTTGGTTGGCAGGATAAGCTTTGTCTTCTGGTGCGGTGACCTTTTTGAAATCGCTAGCATTGATGGCGTTATTCACAATGGGGATTGAGTAGTAAGCTCCAGTACGGTCATCAATAATGTGTAGAGCTTCCCGCTTGGGGGAGGCTTCCTGGGTGACGGTCATGATGGACGATGGGTGATAGATAATGGAAAGAGGCGATGAGGATGTGATTGGAAGTCTACTTGTTGAGGTCCGATGGTCTCAACGTGCCATATTTATGTCATCAAAGTCGACAAACGTATGACCATGAATCGGATCAATATTGCGTCCGACTTCTACATGACTGTAACTCGGATTCTATAATGATTCCGGGTTGGAATGGACGTTGTGAGTGGATCTCGGCGAACGGCGGCCGATGAGCGATCCAACGATCTCCGGGGGGGTTTCAGGGCCCGCTGTACGATAGTGGACTGTAACACCGTTATCTCGGGTTCGAGGCGGCTCTAGGGTCTATGGAGTATGGATTGGTCATGAACCCTCCCTGATCCGTGTACCGGGGATCTGGATTATCGCATACGCCGGCTCGCTATCGCTATATTGTGACCTCGGGAGCCCTGTACACGTGGCAATAAAAGGCCGATGGGACCGAACGATGTTGCAAGAAGCCTGCAGATAACGT